GAGATTGTCCCATAAACTAGATGCCATGACACAGAAGGCCCACTTCTTTGGACCCATCAGATGATACTGTGTCAGCAAGAAGACCTAGAGCATGCTCATTCATATGATGGGACAGATAGAAACCATTGGGAAAGGGTTCTGCAAGTAACATGGCACCATGCTTTAAAGATGACAACTAGCATCTTGAATTGTGCCTTGAAACCTACTATGATGCAATGCAAATCATGTTCCAGTACTGTTATATGGGTCTACCGTGGGGTACCTAGTACTGCATTCTGGAACAGCTGAACCTTCCAAAGATTTATCAAGAGCACATTGCAGCAGCCCAAAGGGAAGTGGCTGTCATGAGTGATTGTGAGCACTGTCTCCTGATTTGGAATGGATTCAACTTATATGCAAGATACATTTGTACAAGGGCCCTACAAGCTATAGCTGCCCCCTGGTTATTGAGGAGGAGCTATGAGTTCAGGTTGCACATTTTCTCTACCTGTTGAAGTGCACTTCATTCAGAATAAAAGATGGAAAATCACTATATATGAGTGGCCCTAAAACTGATAGTACTCAGTCTTGTCAGGATTGTTTCTTCTTTTCCAAACCCAAACACTTGCCAGACACTGGGAAAGTATTGGACAGCATTACTTGGCTAGCCCAGGTCAGAAATGTACAACTAAGTATCATTACCATACTGGTGAAACTTCACCCCATGTTGACTGATAACCTTATTCAGAAAGAAAAGAATTGAGCTTTGTGGCACCCCACTTAGCAGAAGCCTAGGGCTGAACCTCTCAACTCCACATTAGAAAAAAATCTGACTGGAAACAGCCATGGAGAAAGAGAGAGCCACTGAACAATAGTGCTTTCTAGTCTCAACTTTAATTGGTCAGAAGGATATTATGGTAACTGAAAGCTGCTGACAGACTATGGCTATCATCTGCTTGTAATTTAGTCAGAGAGACTGTTTTGGTTATTCACTCTGGCACTCTGAATACAGAAATTCCTTGGTCCACATATCCAGGGGTTCCCAACCTACGGTGCACAGTCTGATACCAGCTGTGGCCTATTGGCCACCGAGTCCTAGGAATAGCTGGTGAGACCCATCCCACTCATGATAGAACTGCTATGTGGGCACTAGTGACTCCATTTGAACATGCAGGGGCACGCTAGCACTACTGCTGTCATGTGGGTGCCAGTGGCCCATTAGCATATGCGTGCGGGTACCAGTGAGCATGCCATGGGTGCACATGCACATGGGCACAAGCAGGTGTGCCATGGGTGTGCGTAGTCCACTTGTGCATATGCACACACACTAGTGCCATTGTGCCCATGCCCATTTGCACATGCGTGCACAGAGCCGCATGCACATGCATTTCCATGCTGCTCCCTTTCTTTCTGGGCTGCCAAGCTGGAAAGGTTGGGTAAGTCTGCACATATATGATGCTATCTATATGGTTGTACTGTTATTATAATGACTAAAGTTCCTTCTGCACCTTGTTTTTGCTCCAGAAATGTAATGTTTACATCTTTTTTTCCATATTTGTCTTGCACTGGCACCTAGGGGTTCTGTGATTCATCAGCCATAATTATGCTACATCTTGGTTAATCATGGGCAAGCTGAGCAGGAAATGATCAGGAACAGAAAAAAATAAAAGTTGAGGCAGCAAAGAAAGCAGGTAGATTGGTGTTTTCTTTTATGGGACATTGAGCTGTAAATTGCACATTAAAAAAATAAAATTGAAGAATTCAAGTTCTTACTTTTGACCATGTCTTCAGAGTTCTGTAAAGAAATGGTGGGATGTCATAAACTCCGGGTCTAGTCCTCCCATATACTCTTCCACCTGGTTCACAGCTCCCAATAAAAGTCCTGATAACCATACATCACTCCTCCCTAGGAAATGCACCCAAGTTCGATGCCCTACATAACAGTATCTTCACAGTTCAAACTGGATGAAAAAGCATGTACTGCACATCTGTCCCCAAAGCATACTCACAATATTACTTGTCTACAATCCAGCATGATTTATGCTTAGCAGCTGTAGTGATTGTTTTGGGACATTTGAGATATTTCCTTGTTAGAACAAAAGTCTGAAGAAAAAAACACTCATGACTCTGTAAATCACGTAGAGAGTGCTGTAAAGCACTATGAAGCGGTATATAAGTCAAGTGCTATTGCTATGAAAGGGGAAGATGTGATTGCCAAGTGATAAAACAGCAGTTTAACAGGAATGTTATTGATGAATTGTAATGAACAAGAAATACGTCTAGCTGCATTGTGTTTTTATGGTCCTTACATGTAATGAATTGGTCAAGCTAAAAGTGCTCTCCCAAAAGGAAACAAGCAAGCAAGTTTTGGAGAAGTGATTCTGTAGTCTAAGTCTCATGTAGGCAAACTCTGAATGAGCACTTCACAGAGAGTCCTGTGCAGGGAAGGGTGAGGTCCCAGGGCATAGTTATGGAATTTATAGGACACTATGGTCTGCAATTATTGCAATGGAGAACATGTCATGGTCAGTTTAAGTGCCACAAATTGACATTATACCTTAACTCTTTCCAGTAGAAGACACTTTGATGACAAACTTAAATGATGCTGTCACGTGCTTCAGCTTCAGGCCAAATTACATGCAGAGCAATGTGAACATGGCTGGTTGTAAGTGCATCTTCATACCAATGGAGGTGGGATAGCTAGCTAGCTAAAGTCATTCTTTATAATCACAATTACCTCTGTGCTCATAACTAAATAACAGTGCTTCAGAGAAATCAAATGGAATACAGTATACTATCTAAATAAATGCATTTATTGGCATACAACATACTGAAAGAGAAAATACATTTATGGGCAATTAGAGAAAAAAATAATGCAATTTTTAAAGGGAATAACTTGGTAAGAAGGTAATATATGTCATAGCTATTCAACGCCAAGACATTACACACTGTTTATGTTCCAAGTGACAGGTGTTTCTGAAAATATTTTGCTAATTTTTAACATAATAAATTCATTCTGTAGTTGTAGACATGTTTATTTCAGATTTATTCAGTTACTCATGTATGTGAAATTATATGTTATCATTGCATCAATGACTTAAATCTAGTTTAGATACTGTTCCTTAGATGTTTTTAAAATACAGATACATCTACTGTGGCTGTGTCTCAATCATACATCTTTAATGCCTAGGACATCTGCACATTTTAAATTGATAGCATGGTTGTCACTCTTCTAACTCAAATACGTTTCTGGTGAGTTTCCATCTATATAATGTGACTGTCATGCAGATTTTATTTAGTGTTCCATTAACAGTAACCAGCTCCATTTCAGACAAGATGTCTGCAGTTTATTGAATTTCAGGATAGCGTGGTGTATAATAGATAGCAAGAACACAAAACATTTTTTTGCACTAAGCATTAGCTTAAATGATCTCTATTTTAAATCTTTTAGACTCCCAGATATACTGAGATACAGACACACAGAATTTGCAACCAATATAGCCTAAATTTGTGGTTAGGATTTTTGGTAACTGTAATCCTAAACCTAATATGTCAGGTACTAGATTAGGAAGTGTCTGCCAGTTTAACATCAGAAAAACTGTATATTTACCTATTGTTTAAAAATGTTAACTATTACAGCATAAAAATAATACTTTCATTAAATAGTGTCTTGATGATTTGTTCAAAATAGAATTACTTCATATTTTGATCAAGAAAAAGAAAAACGTTGTATGCAGAGACCTAGTTATTATATGGTAGAAATAAGCAAGTATTTTTACCATATAATATCACAAGCATTACTTGTGACAATACTGGGACATTATTTCTGAGTTGAAACTATGTTACATAGTAAACGGAATTAAAGTATTTCTTGAAAGAAAACAGATTTTAGTGGATTCTCTTTTTATCACAATTAGAAAATTATTAACATATGAAATAGTGCCGGGGTTATAGTATAAGTTTGTCTATTTACTTGAAATAAGTTCCATTGGATTTAAAGACGCAATAGACTGCAACTTCTCTTTCGGATGCAAGTCAGACAAGGAAATTAATCACATTGCTTGTCCATGTCTTCCCCATTTTCGGATTATACTTTTTCCTTAAAAAAAAGAAAGAAAAGCAAAAAAAAAAAAAACCCCTACTCCACATTCCCCAGTCATTTGAAAAGTTAAAATTCTGCGGCTTCCCTCCCTCTCTTATTTTCCGTCTCTCCCCGCCTTGTATCTACTAATGGTATCGTCCGGTTTGTCGCCAAATCCAGACAGTGATTAACACCCGTCGCCGCCAGCCTCTGGTGCCGGGAGCTTCAAAATTTGATTGGCTGGCAACTTGCTAAATACGCAGGTAATATCCTATATGATTGGTGAAAGGCTTCTAGGCTCCTCCTCTGTTCTTTCTGCTATTGGTCACCGTATAACAGCAAGCCTCCCTTCCCCCTCCCTTCCCCCTCCCTTCCGAGGTCATTTAAGTTTATGAAATAAATAAATAAAGGAAGAAATAGAAATGCGTAGAAAAAAGAAAGGGGGAGCGGGCAAGGGTTTGCAACCTAACATGCTAGGTAGCGTGAAAAAGATCATTTAGAACCAATCATTTGCAAGCTTGGGTCACTTTGGCAGCTCGCCCGGGCAAATGAAACAAGAGTTATTAAAAAGGTCAGCCTTAATCATATGCATATCCTCCAATGATAAGCATCAGTGATGTCTGATTGACAAACTTCAAGACCAATACACTGGGGACATAACGGAGATTTATTTTCTTAAAGGCTGGAACCACTCCAATGAGAAGGCAGTAAATATAGGCGGATGAGAGGGAAGGATTATATGGTTGTTGGGGGACGCGAACTCACTTCGGAGTGGCAGGGGTGCCAGCTAATCGAAGAGTTGAGCGGACCGAGTGGGCGGGACTAAGGGCCAATGAGAGCGTCGCCTGAAGGGAGGGTGGTGGCTGGTCTACATTAAAGAGTTGAATTGGCGCGGGAGGCTGACAGAAGATGAGAGAGGTATCGCTCTTCCGGGGTCAATGGGGGGTGAGGAGGTGTGGTTGGTTGAGACTCCGCCCTCTCCAAGGGTAGTGAGAGGGGAAAGCAATTAGGGTTATGTGTAAAAATAAAACAAAATAAAAGCTCTGAAAGACTAAAACGCAAGTGAAACCCTTGCAAATCTCGTGGGAAGTAGACCTGCCCTGCGTTCAGGGAACTTTACTCCCGAGAAAGTGTGAATGTCAAGAGCTGCGTGTTAGATCAGGAATAAGTCCCACTAGTTTAATTGAGATTTTCTTTCGGGGAAGTGCGCATAGTGCCCTATAGCCTTACATACTAGATCCGTGCGAACGGGGTAGCGAGGTAAGGCTGCAGTTCTTCGCGCACTTCTTTGGGAATATGTGCTTGGAAGTTTGTTTAGGAACCCCGCGTTAGGTTCTATCGTAACTTTGCATGCCGAGAACCTTTCGTCCCATGCACGGCTTACACTTATGCATACGGATCCGGACGCAGACTCACGCAGTGGGAAAGTAGTCGTGAAATGCAGTGATGGATCCCGCTTCCTCCACCCAAGTTTTCTTGGGTCGGGCTGATTTCAGGAAGCGCACTCTTTTCTCTATAAAAATGCTTGATATTCATGTCCGAGCAGTGTGCCAGGGTTGTAAAAATTGGATCGGAAGAAAGCTAAATAGATCTTGCAGAACAAACTTGGCACTAGCCAAACCGAACCCAATGCATGCTTGTTCTGAAAACAGTCCTTTTCAGTTCAGGGGGAGTTTCTCTTGGGTATACTGAACCCAGGATTAAAAACACATTCGCATGTTTGCGGCCGATTCCTATTCTCCATCTTGGAACATTGGCTTTAGTGCCAGCCACATTTTTTCTGACCAACGCTATTTAATCTAGTAATTTTTTACCACCTTCCTCAATAAAAGAATTCCTCGGGTCTGGAATTAAAGATGCTTCCTTAATAATGGGTTTAAAATAATAATGTAACTTGGAGAAAAACTAATTTAGAAAGTTCAGGATTAAACTTGAAAGCTTTCAATGAGTATTTCTATTTTACAGTGAACTTAATTTATGTACTCACTGATCATAAATTTCAGCCGAGGATAACGTGCCTCTGGCTAGAGAATAGGGCAATAATGAATGTGGATATGAAAAATCTGCGTGTGATCAAATCTTTAATTTCACTGTCTTGATAAGAATTAGAACAGGAGGTCATCTGATCCACCAGGGCATACTTCTGTTGGGTAGGATAGCAAAATTCAGTTTCTGTTTGAAACATTGGGCTGGAAGTGGGATGAATGCAGTTTGTGGCTTGCTCTCAGTTTCTAGTTTTATTCTTTCACTCTTGTCCATTAGCTAAGATATGCTTCATTTCATTTTGCTTCTTGATAGACTAGAAAAGAGCGGGTCTTGCTCCAGCTTTCCTCGTCTCTAACTCAAAATAGTTAAATTCAATTCTGTCTGTTGGAGGAGAGAGATCCAGGAATGTAAGGAGCAAAATAAGCTGGTGTTGAGTTACAGGGGGAGAGAAAAAAATAGTAAGCTGAGTGGGGACCAGAAATGCTAAGTCGCAGGCAAAGCTATGCCCATTGAAGAAAAAGTGTGAAGTTACCCCGTTTGAACTTTGGATGTGGGGTAAGCAAATACGTACTATAACTAAAGGATCTGTCTGATGTACTTATTAAAAGTCTTCATATTTTTTATTTTATTTAAAAAGTAAGATAGAACAGGGTAAGAACTAAAGCAATCGATAGAAATTGTATGTATACTTCTGAATAAATTTCATTAAACGTGGTTACTATATTTTGTAACCTGCAAAGTTAGCTTAATAACGTTACACAAAAAGCGTGTTAATTAAATGTTATTACTAAAAAAGTGGACATTTCTGCATTATATAATGATTAATGTAGATTAGAAACAACTTGATTCTCTACTAACAAATGAAATCCCTTCATATTCATTCGATAACTCAATGGACTACTTTCTAAGTAAACAAGTAATTAAATAAACAAAAATTTTAAGTAGTCTTGTTTTATCCAGATTGGAGAAACCTCTTTAATTAATACAGGATTTTTTCCTTCACTTATCAGGTAAGTATTTATCAGTAATGCTCTTCTAAATCCATTTCCTTCCTGGATTAGATTTGAAAGCTTGTACAATGTAGAAAATAAGTTTAGACTTAAGTAAATTATTTTTCAAAAAAACAAGTATAGCTGTTTCATCTATTGTGGTTGCTATTGTGCCTTTGATTTGTATTTAGTACAGAATTTTACCTATTGTTTTCCTTATGCTTCTGCTTTCCCTATCAGCAAACTGCTAGAAATTTCTGGTTACCCTGCAGTCTGAAAACAGATCATAAAAGGAAATGGGTAAAGCAGTTAAGCTCCCCCCCATCCTGATATAGTTCAGGATCCCTGAAAAGAGACTATATTTCCCATTTTCCTTGTAGTAAAAAAAAAATATGTGTACCTGCAGTTTAAGGTAGCATCAGTAATATCTGAAAAAAGATGAAATCCTGTCAGGGTTTCACAAAAACAATTTTAATATCTTGCAGAATGAATTGTAACAAATAAAGAAGGACAAACTTTAAATGTCATCTATTTGGAAAGCTTTAAAATACATTAATAACTTGGAGTTTAAAATATGGGTCCTAAATGATTTCTGTGTTATACGTTTATGGTAAGTATTAGTGTCTTAATCAGTTTCCAGATGTTGATTATATATGCCTATTCTTCCAGCAAATAACTACATATTAAAGGTCTGGCAATTGTGATCCACCCATTTTATAAAAGAAATGTATTTGAAAAATGTTGGTATTATGCAATAGGCTTTGGAATGCATAAAAGCCATTTTCTCCACTGTGCTGGACTAATTCCCAGCAGTGCAACTATAGTGCATGTTGCAGTTTTATGTCTGTGAAAGACAGGGAGGTTTGTAAATAGTTTGCTACAAGAAGGTTACTTCCAATTTATCTCAGCATACAGTTAAGATAAAGCTTAATAAACCTTGATATTTTTATAAAATTGTATATTCATCTGTGAACTATAACTAAAACACTAATTAATAATTACCGTAACATTGTGATCTAGAAATGTTGATTTAGAATGTCTCTTCATTAAAAAAGGAGGAGACAAGTAAAATTCTAAATTATTGATGTATTTTAAAGATTCCAAAGTAGATGACATCCTAAGCAACATCTAAAAGTTACTTTATTATTAATTTTTAAATATATTAGCTACCGATGTCACATCATTCCCCCTCCTGGTGACTTAAAGTAAGCTAAAATGCAATGAAACCTTGATGGTTAAAAAGTGACATTGTTACAAAGTATCCTTGAGAATGTCTTCTAATTAACTTGGATCATTCCAACATGTTGTGAGTCAAGCCATACATAAGATGAAATCTTGCACTATGAGTAATTGAGTCACTCCCAAGGAGATCATACCTCTACAGCAATTTTTTAAAAAAACATGTAAGCTTCAGAATGCTAAGGGTTAATGCCATTTATGTCATCCACACTCTTACAATAGTATGAGGTTTATGCTACAGCGCCACAAGGGAACTATTGCTAGTTTTTAGGAAAGAAGAGAAAAGTTACATTTTGCCACAGTCTGATAGCTACTGGAACCCTGTGGCATTGGGTATGTCAAACCTCTTTCTGAAGGTTCTTTCAGTAGGTCATAAATTAAAAGGGCTTATGAATGCTTGTAAATATATATTCTTGCTCCTTAAACATATATAGAGTTTGTATCAAGGATGCTGTATGAAAATGCAAAGATAATCTCTTAGTTTTTTTCTTTCTTCTTTCAAATGTCACCAATCCCTTGGCTCAACTGCCCTCAACTGAGATGTACCTGCTTTTTGACTGAACCCATTTCTTTTGAGGGTGAGTGGAGGTAACCACATTAATTAATTAATAATGTTCCTCTTCCATTATATTAAATATTTTAATTTTGTGGCAATACTTTTAAGATATTACCCAAGCCTTCAGATACAAGTGGGTCTGAGGCCACAGGTTGGCGTCTTTAAGACTTTGACATTATATAAAGGTTATAAGATCATGTAGAGCAGAAGTGGGGATGTCATATAACTTCTCCTTTATTGATAGATGCCTGCAGTGATAAGGTGTCCCCATGGCTACCAGAAACTCTTAGTTTTGTATGGAGTACTCCAATCCTTCAGAAATTGTACCACTGAATTTTGAAAAATGTATGATTTCTTAATGTTTTTCAATGGAAGATATCCTCCTTCCCTAGCATGCAACAATTTACATAAGCCGAAAAATCTTTTCCCCACCCAAGTCATGGGAGAAAAACCTATGTTACACTATCCCTACTTTTTTTTTAAATCTATCTATCATGTCAATCAGTTTGTTGGGGAAAATTTTGTTATACTTCTAATTAGGCATTAAGTTTTCAGGATTGGATTCTGTACCCAGATTCCTGGAAGTAAGATCCATTAAACTGTATGTGTATACTTAACGTGTATATTTAAATATACCATATTTAATATGTATACATTACTTGTGGCTTAAATTCAAGAGTAGGCAAACTTTCATGTTTATATGAAACAAAGTGTTTGTGATGAAAACAATTCTTGTAAAATTATGCTATTCTCTTTTGTAAAAACACTGGAATAATATCAGCATTCCGAGACATAATAGGAATTGTGAGCTGGTAAAATAGACCAGGTTTAAAGAAGCTCTAAAAACTTTTTTAAAAATCCAAAACTTTATTTAAATAATAAATTTACAGTATATTAAAGTTAACAGTTATGGAAAATAATTCAGATTCCCAAGAAGGAGGGAATACATTCCAAAGACAACAAGGTTGTGTGGAAGAAAGAGGGTGAAAACAGCTCCTCCCTAATTGTCCCCTAGAATCTATGTTTTATGGTGCAAGTAGTCTGCTTTAGTTTGGCCAGATTTCTGTCCATAAGTAAGGAAAATTAAAGGAAACTGCTTCAACATTTAGGTGATTTTAAAGTGTATTTTTGTACATCAAATTAACAGAGTAACACTGTGCATTTCAATAGCAGTTCATGTTTCTGGAGTTCAGCTTTGCAAACATTAATAAGTTAAGACAACTCACTCCCTTGTATTAGACAATATGCTCATTTTCAATAGATAATTAAACTATGGAAAGGTTAATAGTACTATTGTCTATAAAGCTTTGTTCTTTGAAACTTGGGACTAAAGTTAATGGGAAATATGGTAATGCCACATATTGACATATCATAGTCTAAAAACGGAGTCAATAAATATCCTTAAAATGAAAATATGTTGATATTAATTTTTGGACACTTCAGTTTGTTATAATTAGCATCTCACAACCTAAAAAGTGCATCTTGACATAATGATCAAGTTATCAACAGGAAGTTTTTCTTTTGTAAATAACTGGTATGTAGGCATGATGGTGTTGAATCTAAGATAGATCGAGACAGGCTAGATAACTTTGGATAGCACTTTATCTCATCAGAGCCCTAATTGAATTTGTTTACTGATTCCATTGGTTCTTAGATAAAGCCAACATTTTATTAGATAATTTAGAATGTTATTCCAAGAATGGGAAAAGAGGGCCTGTTTGGTGTGGTAGTTCAGGTGCTGGCCTAGACCAGGAGGCTGTGAGTTGTAGTATTGCCTTAGACCAGTGATTCTCAACCTTTCTAATGCCGCGACCCCATAATACAGTTCCCCATGTTGTGGTGACCCCCAACCACTTATACATCACCGGGTGCCAGGGGCGTGGCCAAAGAAAAGGGGGAAAAATGGCGGACAGCCTTGTTTGGTGACCCCCATGAAATGGTCGTTCGACCCCAAATGGGGTCCCGACCCACAGGTTGAGAACCACTGCCTTAGACATACTGGTATTATTTGTGTCATAAAATGTTTTGTAAAATTTGCCAAATTTCAAGGCCACGGGAATCATGGGTTTTGGATTTTTGACATATTCTATAAGTTAGTGCATTTGATTCAAAAATTGTTGGACTATTATGCATCATTTCACCGAATTAAATATTATGGGAACAAGAGTTTTAGTATTATATAGATATTCTTACAATCCATATCAGTAATTGGTATGTTAATGAATTCCTGGTTATTAGTCATTCATCATGGTACTCCTGAATTAGTCAATACCCATTTCCTTTAAAGTTAGAAGAATTGGGAGAGGGGGTTGTCTGTTCCTTATAGATTAGACCAATAGAATTGCTTTGTGTGTCTGCAACTAAACATTTCTAATAACTGTTGATCAATCCTGCACACTTGGCTTGGAGGAATTTTAGTCCATCCCTCCTTATAGAACAGTTTTAATTCAGGGGTGTTGGATGGCTTCTTCACATGAACTACTTCAGGTCCACAATATTTCTCGAGGATTAAGGTCGGGATTTTGATTTGTACGTTCCAAAACATTAACTTTCTTCAGATTTAACTATTCTTTGCTACATGATCATTTTCCTTTGAGCTTCAGTTCATGGAGGGATAGCCTGATATTTTTCTAAAGAATTTACTGGTACAACCAAAACCATCACTATTCCATCAATGATGGCAGGCCATCATAATCCAGGTGCAGAAAAGCTGGATAAAATCATGATATTTCCACTACCACCACCATGTATTACAGAAGGAATAAGCTGCAATGCACTATTTGCCTTTTGCGAAACAATGTTTTTCATTCAAATCAGAGATTTTGGTCTCATCCATCACAGAACACTCTTCCAATAGCCCTCTGGTCTTATCCACATGGTTTTTATAAAGTATAGGTGGGAGCAATGTTCTTTTTGGACAGCAGTGGCTTTATCATTGCACACCTGTTAATGCATACTATTGTTGTTCATTGTTTTCTTGATGAATGAACACTTCATTCATCAAAAGTAAGTGAGGCCTTTAATTTCTTAGACATTATCCTGGGTTGCTTTGAGACCTCCTGGAGTTTTATACACCTTGCTCTTATGTATCTTCCCTTGGTTAAACACTCCTGGCAAGGGAAGTAATGGTGTATTTAATTGCCTCCATTTGTACGCAATCTGGATGATAGATAATAAACTGGTGGAGACCAAACACTTTGGAAATTGCTTTGTAATCTTTTCTAGATTGGTGTGCATCAACAACTTTTTTTGGAGGTCTTTAAACAATCTGCTTTGTTTGAGCCATTTCTGTGTATCTGTGTCGTGAAGTTCAGACTTTTATAATGAATGCCCAGAATAAGGTAGGACTTTCCACTCTCCCATTTGATTATTATCCCATTGATTGAAACACCCAATTTTAATTTATTCTTTAAATGAACTGGTAATCCCAGAAATTCACACACTAGCTTTTAATAATTTTTCTCAATAAATCAGTGAAGGTTTATTTGTTTAACTGAGTTCCTTTATCTAGTTTTAGGACTTGTTTGGAGAACATTTTAGGTCACAGGTATTTTTTGACTTATGACTGTTCAAAGTTATGATGGTGCTGAAAAAGTGACTTATGACTGGCCCTCCCACTTATAACCATTGCAGCAGCATCTGCAGTCAGGTGATCAGAATTTGGGCACATCAGCATCCATATATGACAGTTGCATCATCCTGGGACTACATGATTACCATCTACAACCTTCTGACAAGCAAAGTCAGTAAAAGAAGCTGGATTCCTTAATGACTGCATGATTTGTTTAATGGCTGCAGAAAAGTCATAAAATCAAACAACTCACTGAATGACCACATCACTTAGCAACAGAGGTTGTGGGCCTAATTGTGGTCCTAAATTAAGGAGTACCTATATTTATGAAGAAATAGCAATAGACATATATACCGCTTCACAGTGTTTTACAGCTCTCTCTAAGCGGTTTACAAGGCATATTGCCTCCAACAATCTGGCTTCTTATTTTACTGAAGGATGGAAGGTTGAGTCAACCTTGAACCGGTGAGATTCAAACTGCCGAACTGCTTGCAGTCAGTAGAAGTAGCTTGCAGTACTGCATTCTAACTATTGCACCACCACTGTATTCAAACTATTGCACCAGAATATTAACAATTCTATAGAGTTCACACTGTATATATCTTAGTTCTATATAAATGTATAATGAAACATATATAGGAGTTGCAAGAATTATAGGAGTTAAAGAAATGAACAGTTGAGAGAGGAAGCAATCAAGTCATCCTCTGAAAAAGCCTCAAAGCAATGTATCTGTAAGCTAACACATTGTCTCTTACTCCCAACCAGCACATCTTAATTGTAAATGGTAGATTACCATGTTTGTCAATGAAAGTTGGAAGGGGAAAAAAATGACTGGCTATATTGTACAAATGCAATATACGAAGCTATATACAAAACTTTAGTAGTAAGATTGTCAGACTATTGTTCCATGATAGTAAATTTATTAGAAATGGGCCAATGAGCATGTTTGGCATATTTAAAGTATCTTGTGACATGTCAAAATGGCTTTACGATAAGAGTCATAAAATGGCTATTTTGAGTATTCATTTTTTTTAGAAAGAAACTTGGAAAATTGTTCCTTGTAATTCCTTCTAACCATTCAGAATGCTAGTCTACTTCGTCTTTTTTGTGTAAGTGGCACATTTCCAAATAAAGCATTGCTGCAGCCACCAACAATTTCTATTTTCTAAGAATGTATGTCAAACCTCTATGTAGAAGCCCAGAGGCAACTTTGGAAACAAATATAACATTGGACATTCAAACTGGCTTCTGCCCCTTCGAGACTTGTGATTTATTGTTAAAAGTATTAATACATACGGAAATTAAATTTGAGTAAGGTAACTTGGTATCTGAAATTCATGAATGCGTACCCTTGGATCAGCACAAGTTCAAGGAAATTTTATAAATAAATTTCCATTGAAATAAATACATTTAAAACAAAGAGTATGGTGCACTTTATTTATTTATTGATT